ATCCCCAGGATTCCCACGAAAGAACTCCAGTCGAATGCGAGGATTGGCACCAAAATTAGGGGGAGTTGTACCACGTGCCATGAATGTTGCCATCAGAGTTTGGTTGTTTAATTATAATCACATGGCATCAAACAATTGCACCAATTGCTGCTCCAAAGTCAAAGGAGGAGATTGCTACTCTACCATGAAGATAAATGAAAAGGAAAGAGCAAAAGAAGGGAAATGAGAAAAAACTAAAAGGAAAGGGAGATCTAAATAATAGAAAAGGTAAATCTAAACCAAAATCTTGAAAGGAAAGAATAAAAGAAAGGAAATGAAAAAAGCTAGATCTAAACCAAAATCCCAAATCCAAGCACTCCTCAAGGACAATGAAAGTTGCCCCTCACCTTCACAAATGTGAGTACTTGGAATATGGAAAGAGAATACAAAAAATGTGCATATCAATTAGCACAAAAACCATAGTTTGTGAGTGGTCTGGATTGAAACTAATTCGACAGCAACCAAAATTCCACTACACTAATATTAATATATGGTATCATAGCCATACACTTGGCCCTCACAAAGGTAATATATTTTTTTAATAAAATATGATATGATAGGTTTTGTTAAAAGGTATTTATCTTAATAGTAGGAAATTGAGCTAGTACAAAAGTACAAAAGGAGTGGAATGATGTTATGTAAATTATTATTTCTATTGGAGAATATATATATCTTTATATGTGAAAAATTATGTGTGGAATCAGTATTCCCTCTATCTTTGATATGTTGCTCTAGCCAGAAGGCATAGCTGTAGCAACTCTCCAAGTGACATCTGCTATAGGTTGATCGAGATCATGCATCACACACAACCAATGCATTGCTATGGAGAGTGAAATGCTTGATTGCATCAAAAACAAGCTATATGGCCTACTTGACTATGTTCCAAGGTCGCACCGATACTAAGATAGGGTGCTACTAATCCTTGGCCTCTTTACAATGCCCCATAAACCTGAAAAGGGAGCTGGCTTATGGCCAAGCGACCTGGCATCACCATCTCATAAAAAAGCTGACTTTATCATCACACTTAGGTGAAGATGTAATACTTGGAAAATTACCTTGATCCCCTCTATATGAAGCACTTTCACCATTTACTTGAGCTCCAGCTATAGATCCACCTCTATTAATGGCAAGCAGGCTCATCAGAGAGAAGAAGTTTATGGTTGAGTAGCCCTAAGTATTTACCTGTATAAGGGAATGAGTTTGTAGAAATCACCAATGTTATGGACAGTATATAAAGGAGGTGGATGCGGGATAAAGGTAGGTTATGTTTTCCATTACTCCTCTGTCCTTCCTCTCTTGTCTTCCTAGCTAAGATGTCAATTGTTTCTCTTTTATGTATATATACTCTTGATTGGCTTTGAGAGATCACATCGTGCTGAGAGTCTTAGTAGTTGTTTAGCAATGATACGGAGCCAAGCGACACTTCACACAAGAGGGCAAAGAGGAGAGAGGGAATCTGTCCGAGAAACTAAGGGAAATTTTCGGGTGATTGGGGTTTTGGAGGAAGAGAGCATGACATTATCGATTCTTCACAATTGTGGGAAGAAGCTGGGGGCTACACAAGAATCTCCATCTCAGTTTGAAGCTTTTGAGGAGCCAATCGACATTCCCCCACTTCCTCTGGAAGAGTGACTAAGCAGGTTCATGGAGATAGGCATCTCATACCAGCAGGAGCTTAAAGATGCCATCAACACGATGAAGGGCATCCAAGAGGATGGAATGGCTTCCATCCAGGAGATCTGGAAATGGCAAGTAGCACTAGAGAGGCGGGTGGATGGAGCTCAAGGGAACATCTTTGATGCATGTGCCAACCCAAGGACTCCTGGCTGACAAATGTCAATGGAACAAGAGGTCACACATGTTTGCAGTGGCATCCCAGGGATTCAATCCTCAAGATCAGCCACTTTCTTTGATCCACGAAGGCATTCCATCCCTTTGAGGGATCATTAGCATGTTTGTAAGGTCTAGTCTTTTCCAGCATTCTAACATTTTTGTTTCCTCTAGTAGGAGTAGGTGTAAGAGTAGGAGTTGGAGCAAGAGTAGGAATAAGTGTAGGAGCAGGAGTAG